CAGCAAACGGGCTGGGTGACGCGGCGCTAGACGGCCGCAGCGCGCTCGCTTCGCGCGGGTCCTTCGCGATAGACGGCTCCGGACCTGCGACGCGTCGGGAAACGCGTCGCTGCGGCACGGCTACGCGTAGCACAACGGAGGCCGTGCCTTAGTTTAGGGGTTTCAGGGGAGGGGAAGGCCAGGAGACCTGGGATGTGAAGATAAGGAAAGGGTTTCGGGTTTGAGGCTTAGGGATGTTGGGATTTAGGGTATAGGGATTTAAGGCGTAGGGCTTAAAAGGCGTAGCTTAGGCTCAGGGTGGCCTTAAGCAAGGCTTAGGGTTTGAAGTTCTGAGTTTCAGGGTCACGGTTTTAGGGTTTAGGGCTTGAGGCTGCGTTACATAGACGGTTTAAGTTTGATGCGGGCTTTGCAGTGGTTTGTATAAGGAATCTGTACAGGATCTACCAGAGGGGCCGATATAGGGTTGAGGGTTTGTGTAAGGATTTGTCCAAGGTAAGACCATAAAGACAGAGCAGGTAGTCTCGGGTTACGATTTAGGGTTTAGCATTTATTTAACTACTAGGTCCTGGTGGGTTTGGGCTTGAGGCTTAAGCGGCCGTGGAGGTAGACAGCCCCCGACACCTCGTAAATTTCGGAATTCTCTTACGTGTAGTATAGAATGCTCTACAGCATGGCCCGACACAGATCGAATGACGGTTGGGGTTTAGGGTTTAGGGTTTAGGGTTTAGGGTTTAGGGTCTGCTTTTTGGACCCCAAATCGCATGCCCGGAGGCCCACCACGCCGCCCGTGGCCAGAGCAATGGCTATTGTTCCTGAGTAGTGCAGTCTAGGACCCCCTAAACCCTAAACCCTGAACTCTAAGCCCTAAACCCTAAACCCGAAACTCTAAACCCTAATCCCTAAACCCTAAAGTCTAAACCCTAAATCCTAAACTCGGAACTCTAAACCCCAAACCCTAAACCTTAAACCCGGCAGTTTAGGGCTTCGGGAGAATCCGTGGGGGCCGCCTTTCAGGGTTTTGCGGAAGCACACGCCGAAAAGGAGCTGTTCTCAGGCGCCGCAAACCAAAGCCCTGAGTTCAAAACCCACAATACATGCAACAAGGTCGCTATCTTATCAACCCCTCGAAGTCTATGGATGTAAGCTTAACGGTAGCTTTACTATAATATACCTAAGAGCCGATTCAACCCTAAACCCTAACACCAAACCCTGAACCCTAAACCCAGAACCCTAAACCCTAAACTCTAAACCCTAATAATAATACTACGCCGGCAGAGGCCCCAAAACAGGAAGAAGCCAAGGTTCGGGTAAGGAAGTTCACGGCCTCGTGGGCGTCGTAGGCCGTGCCTCAGCCGCTGGATCACCACACTGCACCCTCAACCTTATAGTAGAAGGGGGTTTAGGGTTTGGAGTAGTAGTAGTAGCAGCAGCAGTAGTAGCAGTAAGAGTCCAAAAAGATCCCCAACGAAGCTTGGGCCCACACCCTCCAGCATGCTGTAGGCCATGAGATACCTGTTGCTTGGGGCTTCGGCTTCTGCGTTTAGAGTTTAGGGTTTAGGGTTAAGGGTTTAGCGTTTCGGACTCCTGGAGGCTTTCTGAAGCCCTCAAACCGCAGGAAAACAAACACACAATCTGTCAGTCGGGCTCGGGCTGATCTTTAAAACCCCGACAACCCCCAAGCCCTGAACCCTAAGTCCTAAACCCTGAATCCTACACCGAAACCCAAAACCCCCAAAATCCAGGAAAAACCAAGAAAGATCGGTGCATGAGTTCGGGTCAGCGTTCACTGCTCAATTACAAACTTCTTGGGTCTGACGATGTTTGACCCTTAGGGGCAGAAAGCGCCGACACCTGATCCCTTTCAGCGCACAAGTCAACCCTAAACACCAAACGAAACCTTAGACGTCAAACCCCTAAACTGCGCAAACATAAACGCTAGATCAGAAACTCCTAAACCTTAAACTTTAAACCCAAACCCCGAACACCTAAACCCTCTCAATGAATAATTAGATCCCGATGGGTTGTGATCCTGCACGATGTTGGGTTCAGATTTTAGGGGTTTAAGGTCTTCAGATTTAATGTAGGGGCCTAAACAATTAGAATGGGGTTTCGGGGCCCTTTATACTATACTTATAACAAGGAACACCCGAAATAGTTTTGGTAATCATTTAGGCCCCTATATTAGGCTTGACGATGCCGCCCAGGGGCAGCACTATCGCCGTGCCGTCGTTGAGGAGCGCCTCGCATTCACGGAAACTTCTATTTTCAATAGCGCATTGCTCCACGAAAACGATGCTCACGGTAACCCAACCCCTGAACCCAGTATAACGCCATAACAGATAGATATGTCGAGTAGGGCTCCTTTAAGGGGCTCAATATTCGGGGGTCTAGAAGGGCTACTATAAGGGCTCAGCATAGGCCCTCAAATAGCTAAATACGGTTTGGGGGTGTATTCCTGTATACCTACCACAACGAACCTCAAGGATGATCTCGTATGGCGAATTATTCAGGCTTCTATACATTTAGGGTTTAGGGTTTAGGGTACCTGCGATCCCTCTCACTTGAAAATCCCTTACGTGCGGAAGAGGCCTGAAATTCTGTCTACAAGGCTTGGTTCATGACTGAAGGAATATTCATCGAGTTTTTTCACAGTGTTTCCTGGCAGGATTCGGGTGACTTAGCAAGTCCCGTCCACAAAAGGACCATCAACAGGGCGGATGTATGCACTCGTCCGAAGTAGCCCCAAACCCTAAATATCTGAAATCCGAGAATCCTACAGCCTCAAGACCCGCTGATAACACAAAACAATTGCTTTGGGGCCACACTGCTTGCTCCCGTGACTTTGGGCTCTTAGGTTGGGCCTCACTCCTTGCTATTTATCTACTTTGCACCTGAAGATGAGCAACAGCAACCAGCACAAAGCTTTCTCTGCAGTCTACTTCGCCCCCCCCCCCACCCATGGGAAAAGGACCCACCAGCTGCACAGCTGAGTGCGATGCTTCTCCCTGAATCAAGACCTTGCTCAAGCTTCTGGGATTATTGTTTAGGGCCTTCATGATTAGAATAGGGTGTTGGGGTATAGAACGCTACAAATATATCATGAACCTCGCAATAGTACCCATTGGTAACTATTTAAGCCCCTGCATGTCGGAGGCTTCGGGGATTGGGACTAAACGGTTTAGTGCAGGTGGCTTACGGATGTAGGGTTCTTGGGGCTTACAGTTTGGGTGACTTCAGGATTCACGATTTTAGAATGGGGGCGGGAAGGTTTGAGGGCTTCGGACTTAGGACAGGAATGGCGGAACGAAGCAATATAGGGGCCTGAATAATTAGAATAGGGTTTTGGGGTATATTATACGAAAGTTATGATAAGGAACCCCCAAAATCGCATAGCTAATCATAAGGCCCCTATAGTATACCGGTGTTTCCAACGAAGCAAAGAGCTTACAACATGTACCTTAAGACATTGTGGATCGTCTTGGACTTTGAGGAGCCTGCAGCAACCTAATATAGGGGCCTTAACAAGTAGAATAGGGGTTTGGGGCCCATTATACTATAAGTATAATAAGGAACACCCAAAAATAGTATTGGTGATTGTTTGGGCTTCTATGTTAGTCATAAGGGTTCCTGTACATGTTCCGACAAAAGCGTGCCTCGTGGTTTGGGACTTTGCCGTTTGGGGTCGAGGCTTCGTTGCTTCCATACTTAGGACTGAGCGTCTAGGGATGTTTGTGATTGGCTCAGGTGGCAGCTTCTTTCGGCAGCAAGCATGCAGGGCGCGGTCGGGCCAGACTCCGTCCATTGTCAAATCGCTTCTCTGAATTAGTGCGCAAAGCATCCAAACAATCCAAAGTCTCCACAAAGGGTTTTCCGCTGTACAGAGCTCGCTGCTCTTCAGCTCTTCAATCTTCGTAGGGTTCCTGCTGGGCCGCCGCGTCCTTTAGTATCTTTGCCGCCTGCTCCGATCCCATGCACTGAAGGCGAAGGATGTTGTCGAGTACGAGCTGCACATCACTGCTGACACTGCTGATGCCGAGGGGAAGGGGAGGGGGGCAGGGTGATGGAAGAGTTGCCACTGGCGCACCGATGAAGCTTGCCCACTCCATTCCATCTCGCATGACCATCCGGTTCGAGTTCTGCGTCATTGTCCCCGCCATGTTCCAATAGGCTTCACTCGGCATCTCTTCCACGCATGTGCTCATCGCTGCGGGAACGCCGTGGAAGTCGGGAACTCGGGCTCGCGAGGCACGGTTGTACAGCTCCTCCCCTTCAATGCGATATTTGCGAAGGAGATCCTCGCCCCGGTGGACGTCGAAGTCTTCCCAAGTGCTCCACGAACGCCTTGCACTATGGGCAAAACACCGGGGATCGCACAATAAGGAGCATCTCAAGACGTTTGAAGTGAAGCTATGGTAGTAAACTTAGTAAACATGTTGATGGTGCGTTCGAGTACATGTCGCGAAGGCCTGCCAGTGTAGGCTTGCCTCCACTGCCAACGGCCACCATGGTCCCACTCGGCGCGGCGGCGACGGCCACCACCGTACGGCATCGTTTTCAAGCGATATGGGCTGGGACGAAACCTACCGTTTAGACCCTTTTAGCAACTCTGTGCCGACAGGCACGCAGCACAGGTGCCTGCGGGGCAGCATTCATCATGCATTGCGTTTGTTCGAAACCCCGTCGCTACGCTCTCCTGCCAAAGGAATTTACCTAAGTGCATCGCGTCCTCAACATGATCTGGTCATCTTGTTGGGCTACCTTGAAGGTCCTTAGATCGTTGATATGTTGACTGACTCCCACAGCTGCAAGCTGCAAGCCTTCTTCAACCGTGTGTTGACATTGCTCCAGTTGCTTTCATCTACTGCTTACAGACCTGAAGATCCGAGCCCAGCGGCTCTTGCATGAAGACGCCGTTGATGACAGCAACACATGCAAAGCCTCAGCGAGAGCAAGCAGGACTGTTGATAGTTGCCCTCGTGGGATCGCTGCCCAAATCTTGGACTGCAGCTCTAGAACCCCAAGCTTGCACTCGTGGCAAGTTTGCCGAGGAACCGAAGACTATCTTGTGCAGGAGGCTGAACACAACAAACCAGGAGCTCACCTTCTCCTGGCAAGGCATCGGCACAAACATATACATGTGCATCAGGCACAAATTAAAACACATTGAATATCCACATCACTCTAACTGACTATAAACTCATGCAGTAGGCCGTGGGCGCCAGTACGTACAACATCGAGTCATCCAGATCTGCCCGGATAGTCCTCATACTAGAAAACTCCGGGCCGCCGGGATCCGTTGGATCAACAGCTCCGATTGAAGCCACTAAGCTGCTTGAGCTCATTTAGCTCACCATACGAGTTAAACCATTCAGCTGAGTCCAGCTGAGAGTGCTGACGAGTCGAGACTTGACAACTCAGCACAGCCTTGATAGACCACTGAGAACAGAACGGAGTACCTAGTTGTATGAGTTCCTTCTATGTGACCTTAATGATTTATTGTCGATTGGACCAGTTGACCTGAGCCCCTGACTTAGTTAAGTTTATTGCACCGGCGTATTTGCTGACTTAGCAACATCGACTCTGTTAGTCGGCTGAGGTACTCCTGCCTGCCAATGAATGGGATCTTTTGGCAGAAACACACGACAGCATGGAGTGTTCGCATGCACATAGATAGCAGTGTAGACGTTGATCTCATGCAATATCTTGTGATGTAGAGCACCACAACTCGACACGATGCAGCCCGAGAAAGAACGCGTGTAAAGTACGGTATACCAAATTCGTCGTTTGTTCGCTCGGCCTGGAGAATCCGAGCGATAGGCGGCCAATTGCCGAGTGTAATCTCAAACATCGAGAGAATACTCCTCAGCTCGGCTCAGGTGACTGCAAGCTCGGCGTTTTTCATATGTGGCGTGAAGTTGGGAAACGTATGTTTTGGACATACGAGTAGCTCACTGTCCCTGCCATTCGTGCGCAAGCCATGTTCCATCGGATTTATCCATCCATCAGTCGAATTGCATTTGCGACTTGTTCGTGCGGATCTGCGTCTAGAGGTCCGGCTGTGCCACTTCATGCCTCTTTCTCACCGGCATCTCAGTTCTATTTGTTCGTCGTTCAGTTTGAGTATGTCTTCGTCTCATGCCATCTCGGACCGCTACTCTGCGGATATCTTGCTTCGTCGCTGGTTCCCCTCCTCCGGTCTCAATTCTGCACCCGTTTTCATGTTCTAGAACTTTGTCGCTTCTTCGCCCCCACGCCTGATCGCAACCAATTGAACCTCGCCGAGATTTCCTTCCTCGCAGTCTACCCCCGCTGGGGATTACATGTTGTGACCTGTCCTTCCTTGCTTGTTACTTTTGCAGAGTGCCTGTTTTGTTTGATTTCTCTGCCTCGGCCGGACGGAGCTCGGGCTACTTCACAGACTTCTATTCTTAGCACCGTCGTCATGCCAGTTGAAGGATGTTCTGTGCGACTTCCTTGCTTGCTCCTCCTTTCCTTTGGGCATTTCTCCCCAGTCTTGCTCATTTGCTCGTCATCTTTTCGCTTAACCTCTTGTTCGACGGCTGATGGGCCAAGGGGCCGCGTGAAATTGCCAAAGTACTCGAAAACGACTTGTCGATCTGCCACTTCCATTGCTTCATCCTCGACGTAGAAAAGGAGGACCTGTTCATGAAGTGCCACCGCACAAAAGCCGCTCACTGTTGTTCCAGCCTGGCTCAGCAGGAGGGCAAAGGTCATTTGTACGAGGATGAGCAGTGCTGCGACCCAAATCAGCGCATGCACGCTTCCTCGGCCGTGGTTACAGTGAGGCTCTTATCCTGCAGACCAACCCGAAAATCAGTTGCATCACCTGGGTTGCGTGCAGCTTGGGTAACAAAGAAACAAATTTCGTCCGAGTTGCCATACAGCGATGTCGTCATGACTGCAAGGGCATCGAATCCCTGAACCGTGCGCGCCAGCTTTACCTGGTCGTCAACCCGGCAACAGAAATCCCTACGACCACATTAGGACTCGCCTCCTTGACAGCGCATCTTCAGCTGCTGCTACTGTACTTACTGATGATGGGAAGAGGCGACACACACACACACACACCCGACCGACATCACGGACTCTCACCTCAGCCTCGCATCCTCACCAACATGACTGGAATCGCAAGGATCAGGGCTTGACATCTACAAACGCGAGTTTTCAAGCAACAGCTCACCTCACAACCATGCTCAAGGTCGAGTTGAGTACAAAGCAAAAGCAGAGAAGCAGATCACAAGCGTAGAAAGGGAATCACACCACACGAGCACAAGGCACTTGGCGTAGGCATCCCGGAACCCGACTCCGAGCACCCGGCCAGGCGAAGCAATCGCGCCAATCGCAGCAAGCGGAGGAGAGAAGTGTCGAAGGGCAGGTTCTCCAGCGCCCGGTCAGCTATCCAAAGCCACACCAGAGCGAAATCGAACCAGTTCCAGACTTCCTCATTGGTGACGATGCTAGGAAGATATGTCCGACGCCGCAAAGCCATGTTCTGCACTCAAGCACCGTCCATGCCAAGTCTCCTTAAAGTAATTGCAGCGCAAGCCCCAGAGCTTGATGGCGGCTTCGACCTCTGGCACACGTAGAAGCAACAACGACAACGGCCGCAGATATACTGCCGGAGCAATAGTAAACAATAGCAGTAGTAGCGCAGTAATGCCGTAATGCAATCAAAACGGTCCGGTTCGAGGAGTAGACAGGAGGGCACGCCGTAGCCATGCATGCGATGCACAACTACATGCTGAAGCAAACCATGACTGCAAGGCTCGCCCGTCATACGACCTCACCAATCCTTGCGGCTCAGTGCATCTTGCTGGGCAAGGAGCCATGAAGAGAATGCCGAAGGTCCACTCCAGAACATCGAAAGCCGTCTGTGCTCCTGGCATGGCCTGCGCACTGAAGCGTCACTGCAGTTGCCACATGTAAACACTCTTCGAAAGCCCATCCATATCAAAGACCGCAGGTCGACACGTCACGAAGCAATGAGCACAGTGCGCATGCAAGCCTTTGAAAATGAAGGTGCTGTATAATGCGTATGATCTTGTGTCCCATTGGTGGATGATGGGCTACAGGTTGAAGACTGCAAGACCGCGTGCCCACCAGTGCTGAGTCGTGTGCGAGTTATGTGCAAGCCTGTTGGACTCCAATCATGACAATCTTGCTTCTCTTCCATCTTATCTGCCCGCCCCAGCTCCCTAGGATCCGACAGGGAGCTGCCACCTGCTCCGCAGTCTGGTTGAAGTGAGGGTAGCCGATGACGTATCCAATGCTGACGCCCCGATACTGCAGCTCTGCAGCCATTAGAATCTGAGCTGCAGATTCAACAGGACTGAACAAATGGCAAAGCCTGTTTCTCAGCATGCACAAGCCTCGGGGATGTGCCATCAAGATGGTCTTGGAAAACGTCTCTGCTGCCACGAACGGGCTTACTCGAGCTTCTTATGCTGATTTTTTGTTTTGGGGGCCTGAGGCAGTCTGCACTCGGAGAGATACGATAAGCGAGCGCACTGCTAGCTGTCAATCTGAAGCTCACAAGCGCTTGAGTGGGCAGCATAAATGATGGACTTTACAACGAGGTAGCTGATGAGCTACTCTGCAAGCTACATAGACCGAGTGGCTGCATGTCCCATGATGCAGCAGGCAAAGACCAGCTCGAACAAAGGATGCCTTGCGATCCTCAGCACGTTTCGGAAATTGAAAGTTACTGCATCGGTCTTCTGCTGCTGCTGTCAGCGGGCATGACGCCCACATCAATTTCATGCAACTTCTCAGATGACAGCCTCTACGAGCGCATGCTTCAGCCCTAGGCGCTTGTACCAGAATCCTTCGTCGAAGTATTCAGCCTTCTGGCTCTTTCTCCTCAAGGTGTTGCTCCTGGGATGAAACAGCTGTACACTATCTGACCACTTCAAGCAACGCTGGGGAACATGGCTTTTCGTGATCAACTATATAATTATAAACATACCCTACTCAACTATGATAATAATGCCATTATGTATGGTTGATGGACTGCTTAATCATTAGCCATTAGCACGTTGAAATGGACTTCCACAGCGAATGCAGCGCAGCACAGAACACCAAGGCCCCAGAGGACGTGCCGAGGCACAGCTCGGATTTCTCTTTCTTGGCCTTCTTGTGCAAGGCCTTCGTCTCCTCCTGGACTTGCCCCGTTAGCATAAGATACAATATGTATTCAATATGACGTAACATCTTACTTACATTGCATACATGCATACCTACTTGCTCTCAATTCAATGCATGCTGCAGGGGTGCGCGCACGTGCGCGTGTGTGTGTGTGTCTGTGTCTGTGTGTGTGTGTGTATGTGTTCGCTTGTTTGTCTGTTTGTTTATTTGCTTTGTGTGTGTTTTCGCCACCACCACCACCACCACCACCACCACCACCACCATCACTACAAACCTATATACATGTATTTCTACATACATGTGTAGACAGCCAACTATCGATCCATCTATCTGTCTATCTATCTGCCTATATACTGACACACGTACTTTTATCACACAATGCAATCAGACCAGCACCTTAAAGAGTGATCCGTTGATTTCGACTCCTTACAAAGAACGGAAGGATGCTGACCTGCTAGCACAAACCGTTGAACGTGTTCCGTGCTGCGCATGTTGCCTCGAACCTGCTGTTCTGAGACGAATGACTTTGGACATATGCTGCATAATTTCTCCAAGCCATGGCTGGCTCGCTGCGGGCTTCTTCTGTTTCTTACCAGACCCTTGCAAAGGCTAGATCTTGTCCTGTTTAGAGGGGTTCTCTTGGCATCGTATCCAAAGACAACCACATGATCCGATCTTCTACGATGCATGACTGTTAGCCTGATTTCTGTGCCTCCATTTCGGCCTCTGCTGCCACTACCTGCCACAGCGGACAGGAGGCATGCACTTGTCGGGAGCATGCCGTGCCCACAATAGCAACGAGGGACACCTACTTCACAGGCACGAATTCAGCATCCCGTTCCAAGCAGCCTTCTGCATCTCTGCCTCTTCTGGATTGGCAGCAAACCTTCAGGCACTTCCGCGGCTAAGGATGCAAATGCGCGGGGTTTCTGACAACAAGCTCTCCGTGTGTCTGCGAAACCCCACCGACCAGAATCTGCCCATCTTGCCAGGCCACACGTGCTTTTCTTCAGGCTGCTCTTCAGGCAAGGCAGCCGTGAAATTCCTTGCATATCATGGCCCGCTGAACTAGGCTTGCTGCAAGTTCGAGCGAATGCCTCCGAGGCACATTGCTTTCTGAGGCTCCTCAGGCGTGGGCTTGTCCAGGGCCCGCTTGTCCGAGTCCTCTGTCCGTGCAAAGCGCAGAGCCTCCCACAGAGTCATCCCAGGACGAGCCACAACATGCAAGACTGACACGTGGCTCTCACAAGACGTTCACCTGCATTAAGCACACGACTGGGCCTCCAATGCACTGGCGGGCCCCCGCAGCTTGCCAGCATTCAGCTTGGAGCTCAGCTCCTGTCTGGTCTCAGAGATGAAAAGAGTTCGGATTTTGTACCACAGCTTCACGAGCATGGCGACATCTGCCAATACATTTCTCAATCCCGTCCTTGAGTAGATGTTTATGTCGGGTCTCCTTAGCCGGAATGTTCGCATTTCGGAGATCTGCAAATCCTGCCTAGTAGCAGAAGCTGAACTGCGGCCGAGGCTCCAAGTTGGAGCGCTCTGCTGCGAGCTCACTTGCAAACCATTGAAACAGTTCCTCCTTCGGCGCAGCATCAGCCATGGCTGGGCGTGCGCACGCGGAGAACAGTCGCTAGCGTCACTAGAACTGCATGGCAGCTGATGTTACAAGCATGTGCTGGCGGACAATGTCTAGCGATGCTCCAGTGGAAAGGCACGTGAAGTTGAGATGGAAGGCTGGCGTGGGAACTTCTGAGCCAAATCTATCATGCTTTCGCATGTTGACCGTTGCCTGCGAAACTTGCCGGTGCCCTGAGACCATGTTCGTGGACTGGCAGCGTGCGTGGATGCCATCAAACTCTCACCTTGCCTTGACCACGAGTGGTGCAACACAGCTGCACATCGCAGCACCGAACGGCACAGCAGCTCTCTTCAACAGCACCTGGCCCAGCTCCCGTCAGTACTGTCAAGTGCTGAAGGCCGAGCGCAGGCCCTTAATTTAATTTCCAACGGAAAGCCGAATGAAAAAACGTTCTCCTCTCGTCCTTAACAGCCTTAACACCCGTGGCTTTCTCCGCTCAGCCCTGTCTCAGCACAGTACTCCAAGCAGCTCGATGGCCGAACTCGCCAAGTGGGGATCCGAGCCGGGCCTCTTAGGGCTGGAGCTGTCATTCGCTGTTTTCTGGAAGCTCAGTCAAATCTGGTCAACTCGCAAGCCGCACTTTAAGTACCCCGCTGCAAGTCGTTCGCGACCACGGGTAGCAGGCTCTCCTTTCCCAATGTCGCACGACGGAGACCACGTATAGAGAGCGAGGCAGAGCACGCAACCGTGCCGCATGAACACACTTCGCAAGGAATGCAGGCCATTTTTCCCTCGAGGGCCACAAACCCTACACCCCATCTACAATGTGGGGAGCACTCGTTACCACATGAAGAATCCTCCATTGCACTCTGGAGCTTCGGGTCAGCGCTGACACAGCAGCTCACGAGGTCAAGGACCTCGGTGCAGTACGCAGCGTGGCCTGTTGAGATAATCGAGCTCCGCTTAGCGATCCCCTGCATCCAAGCATGTGGCTTGCATGTGCACCATCGGATCCGCTGCACATCGGCGCCAAATCTGCAAGGGAAGCACTGGACTGCGTAGGTCACTAAGCTTGCGCAGTGGCTAGTGGCCAGCCTGCACGGTCAAGGGGCACAGCTCGTGGGACACAGCCGCCATGATGGTCGGGCATTGCTGCCAGCAGGGAAGCATGCACTGCTCTGAGGAGGTTTCTCTGTTCAGCCAAACGACTACTTGTCGCGATTATTGCCAGTCGTTTTTCAGATCGAGCGAAGCAAGTCAAGAAGATTTAATGCCCCCGACCCAGCAGTAGCCAACGGATGGAGCACCGCGGAAGAACTGCGTACCGAGACACATGCCTACGTGTTCTTTGAATTTCCGAGTGTGCGTTGGCTGTGCGACAGATGCCATTGCAAGATGGAAGGTCGCCGAGGAAAGAAGGACAACAAGGAACAGGGACACAGCTACGGGGTGCAAAACCCAAGCCCTCCTTCCCTCGGGCCGCCCTTCAAAAGGATCTGTTGATTCGTTCTAAGCTTTCGCAAACAGTGTCACTGCAAGGCGAAAACGAAGCCTGAAGCTTAACGAACCTTGCAGAGGCTTCGGGGTACTACTCTTCGAGCTTAGCACGTGTGGTCACCAAAACATCTCAGGGAACTTGCAGAGCTTGCATCGCCTTCACGATTATGCAGAGGCACTCGAGGCACAGATGGAGAAGCTCCTCGGCTCGTTGGACTCCCCTTCATCGCTAGATCGATGATGACTGTGAATGTCGAATCGCATGACCGATCCCGTCAGCAACTAGGTAGTACGAGTAACTTCTGATGCTTTCTATTCAGCATCTGCCCTTCTGACTATGCCTGCGACCACGATGTTGATGATCAGGGTGATTATCGTGGAAACCACCACCACCACCACCACCACCACCACCACCACCACCACCAGCACCACCATTGTGACAGTCATCCTTGTTATCGTCGCAGTACCACCCACTCACCAGCACCAGCAGCGAATCGCCATCATTATGCCCATCCGCGACGCAGCAGGTTCGAAAAGACACGCTGAACTATTGAGGTCCTCGTCTGCCTCACGAAGGAGCGAGCCGAGGGAAGACAGAACTCCCTTTTTCAGGAGCAGTTCCTGGGAGACTGAGAACTGCTGGTGACAGAGGCCGACGGCCTAACCTGCCGGAAACGTGCCGGGGCGACCTCCCGCAGCTTGTCGTCGTGCATCGCTGTGAGGAAGCGGCAGAAGACGCGGCACGCGCTGGCAAACGCGTCACAAATCAAGCAGGTACCCAATCACCCGCAAGCCATAGTGACTATCCATAGTGTTATGTGCGTTATGTACCAATCGACAACTCACTGCCAAATGACAGTAGGCTGCACATCAAGCGGTTGTTTAAGTTTACCTGGCTGAGCGGCACATGAAGATGCACTTTCATCAGGCTACGGGCTTGTTGTGCTGTTGCAAAACACTGCTCGGGCACTTCAGTGAGGGCACTTTCTCACTACGCCACCTCACGCGGACGACCAGTGGCTCGTCGGGGCCGAGGGACTTTGCCGCCGCCTCTGCGAAGCTCGTTCCGTCTGGCTCCAATATGCGAATGGGTGAACAGAGGTGAACAGGCACCTCCAGAAGGTGAGGGATCTCCTCTCGCACCTGAGACACAGAAGAGACACACGCAGCTACACGCGACCTCGGATCTTCTAAACTCTTATAACTCGTGACTCTTTCGGAACGCGCTGCAAGATGCAAGAAGATGCACGCTGCTGCATGGCACAGCAGTGCAGCTTTGGCACCGCAGTGCGGCCAGCACCCTCGCAATGCTGGAGCAGAGAAGTGACGGTGACAGCCAGCTGCGACATGGTTATAGGGACAAAGCACGGGTCTCTTATCGCCACCTCGGACGGACTCCTTTGCTCACAAATGCTGAATCACATGCAGGGGAAGCTACTAAACTGGCAATGTGAAGTACCGCCTGGTATGGCAGACTTCCTTGCCAAGCGTGAGCCTGAAGATTGCGTCAGCCTTTTTGAGGCCATTGTATGGTCCACGGTAGAGCTGTAGGGAATTTTTGCGTGGTATGTATGGTATGGTCGGCTTCATTTCAGTCTCGCGGCTCAGCTTCAGAAGAGGATCACTGCAGCAATCCTGGGCACAGGCGCGCAGCTCTGACAAGTAATCCACGTCTTTGCTTTAGACTTACAGTCCAAATACGCATGACAAGGAGCAGAATCACAGATGGCCATTCAAGGCTGAGAGCCGCCCCTGCAGCCATGTCCTGGGTGTCAAAGACGATTCCTTCGCCTGCCGTGGCGCGTTGCGGGACATGGACAATAAACGTCGCTGCTTTGCCTCCACTGCTTTGATGGTCGGAAACCTGCATGACTCTCTCACACAAGCTTCCACTTGCAAAGTGAAGAGTTATGCAGACTGACCTGCACGGCGCGGCCCGTGATGGTTGGCGGAGCAACCTGCATGTATTATAGAGAAGTACTCACCCTGCTGCGGAGGTGTCCGTTGATGCGACGCAAACACAATCAACTTACTTCAAGCAGAATTGCACACAGCTACCCTGTCCTCACAGGTTCTACATGGTTCTAGGTAAGAAAGCATGGAGGGCTTAGTCCAGCAAACAAAAAACATATCTTCATTCAAGTCCATCCATTGTCAAACGGACCGAACTCATGCAAAAAGCAGTTTAACACTGGTCCGAATACATGCAACAGATGCGAGTTCTTGAAGAGAGACATGTCGCCACCAGTTCACTGCCCATCCCCATTCCTATCATTTCAGCGTAACCACTGACAACATTGATCTCCTTCCAAGCATTTGCTGGCAGCAAGCAGCACAGATCCACGAAGACACGGCTATGTAATGGGTCCCTATGAAGACTGCACAGCTGTGAGTCGCGCCGGACCATGCTCGCCGTCATCTCAAGCTGCAGGTCCGAGTTCGGCATGCTTGCACAGAGGGTAAGCCAAGGCCAAAGCGTTGAGACGATGCCAATCGATGTGCCATCTCTCAATGCTGTTCGCTTGCAGAGCAAAGTGGAAGGAGGAACTGGTGCCGAGTACCAGTATCTGGTATTCCGACGTGCATTCGTCACTTTGTTGATCGGCTTCACAGGGCATCACATCCACCTGTTCCATGCACGACGCCGCATGCTGCGTCGTGCCATGCATATGTGTGTGTGCGAGTGGCCTGACTGGCCCGTGTAGGTGGTCCTCGCCCATTGACTCGCACCAGGAGTAGCGGGGCACGACTGGGAAAACTGTAATCAGTAGTGCTAACCAGCCTCCGAGCTAGCCAGAGCTGGTCTGCCACCACATTGATACGAGCGGTCAGTCTTCCATCCACGGTGGCAGCAGCCACGGCCGTGATGGTTTCCAGGGCGACTGGGTATCGACTCAATCAGAGTCAAAGCTCTATGTTTCATCGAGCTTTGGGAGCTTTGGCAGACTGAGATGCTCGGCATCCCGCCCGGGCCTCCAGCACTTCCAGGGAGTACGGCACCATCTGCAAGCCATTCACCTGTGCCAGACTGATATACTCACGTAATTCGTCGTTGTGTGTGAGACTAACTACAGTTTATCAGTAAGCCGGCTAAGAAACGACAACCTTGGCAAACCAAGGGGCGCCCTTTCGCCAAAGGACTTGGACCGAAGCCGAGTGGCTGGAGCGAAAGCGAACCCCGATCCGAAACACGCAGTGCTCCGAAGTCCAGTCCATGTTGGAACACACAACACACAAAACATCTGAATCTAAAGGCAGCTTAGTGAGTGTCTTCTGTGCATACACTATAAGACACCAACACACTATACGTATATGCAGTTCTGCGTGTGAGCATGCATATATGTATATATATATATACACATGTGTGTGTATGCGTATATATATATATATATTATTACAAATGTGTAAGTATCTATGTGTATTCAAAATTATGTAATGTACAACTATATTTATGTATGTACTTGTATCATGTCTGTACATGTCTCTAGATAGATGTGTATGTATGCACATGCATATATTTATTACCTATACGCATATGTACAGTACATTCACTACAAAGGGGGCCCAAAGAACACACTGACATGAGGAGAGGTCCGGATGCGGATCTGCTTTATATTGGCGTGAGTTTGAAATGGCACGGGCCAAGCCTAAAACCCCATACAGTTTACAGTGAGAACGTGCGACCGGTGACCTCTGTGTTCAGTGCAAGTCTCTCTGTCTCTGTGCGTGCGTGTGTGTGTGTGTGTGCGAAAGAATGGTGCGTTCAATTGCGAGAGTGTTTGTGTGAGTGCACACATATGCATGCACGCGCATGAAGACCCGCGCAGTCATGCAACATGTTTGGGCGAAGCCGGTCAGTGTCTGACCCACACGCGAACATCTGAATCTGGGTTCCATAAGTTCATCTGCAGAATTCTGCAAACATCTTCGGTTGGCCTCAGAGCTCATGAGCTCTGCAATCTCCGCAGGCGTAGCGTGTATCAAGAGTTGCTTGGCCTGAATGCAAAGCAGGGTGCCCACAGCCCGGCATGCAGAGACGCCCTGTCTGGGAACCGGGCAACCTCGGCGCGCTCGGTGGCATTCGGGCCTTGCAGTGTCGTGGCCTCAGCTCCCGATCTTGCTGGGGTCGTCTTCTCTGTGTAATCCTGCGTAGAAAGACTTCTCTAGAGCCTTGCCTATTGGAGTCATACACACACGCGGGAGACATTCCAACAGAAACAGGGAGAGCAAGTAATGTACAGGGATAGAAGGCTGTCAGCTGCTGAGCTCCTTTCAGAGACAATTTCAACCGCACCGCTGTCGGCTTGTAGCTGCCTAGCAATTCGCAAGAACATGCCCAGTGCAGCTTTCCCGGCTCAAGAATCCTGGTTATTTGTGGTGCTTCACAAACTCAGAATCTGCGCGCAGAGGCTTCACAGCCGCCTGCCATCCACCACGTTCAGCACGACGTGCGTGGAGTCTGCGGGGACCTGCAGAAGAAATCATCCAAACCTCAAAGGCTGAGCAACTCCTGGCCTGAGTTAGAGTGGCCATTGCCCGTGCCAGTGCCACTGGCACCTGCGAGAAGATGACGCAAGCTCGGTCGCTGTCGCAGGGCATTCTAGAGGATCGTGACTTTCTTTCGAAGGCTTCTGCATGTGAGCTATACGAAGCCATCCTTGTCATGCATCACCTTTCCGCCAACGTGCTGCCTGCAGTTACAAGTCGCCTGCCACCAAGCCCCCCCACGCTACGCCCGCATGCAGATTCAACTCGGAAAGGGACCTGCGCATCGGACAGAAACCGAGAAGGAGATGACCTTGCAGCACTTTTGGACCATTTCTGTGAGGGATGCACCGACGCACCACCGAACACAACGGGGAACGGATTGCCCCTACAATGTCACATTCGACTAAGCCTGGGCAAGGCTGTGGGCAGTCTTCGGGGCAGTGGCACTTGTGTCAGAATCACGCCGGTGAGCGTGACGAGATGGACCTAAGGAGTGCGTGTTGCCGCGAAGTCTGCAGACGGAGGGCGACATGCAGTGGAAGACAGCTCCATGTGCTTCTGGCCAGAGCCGCTGGGCAGCTGACCGTTGTCGTTGTCGTCGTTGTGCCTCGAGAGAGCAGCGTGATTCTGCAGGGATGCCCGTGAATATCGTTCTGATGTCGGTCAGGGTGCTGAGGGTTGACAATGTGGCCGTTGAAGTCGTTCTAGAGGTCGTGGAGGTGTTTGTGGTATAAGTCGAGGTGGTGTTCCTGCAGACAGATACAGAAATTCAGATGCTCGGCCTAGTAAGGATGAACGAATTTTCACGGAAACATCAAAAAACGGCAAGTTCTGATCTGGATCTGCTGCCCAACCAGATGCCCTGTGCTGGCTCATTTAGAAAGGGGTTTAGGTCCCCCTGAATTCAAGGCCCCCTGCGCCGTGTGAGCAAAGAGGTCGGCCGTTGGGCTCTCATTTTGACTTTCTTCACCCCTTTCCTTCTGGCTTTATCACTCAGACCCTTGCGACAGCAAGGTGTGCAAGCACGCACTCACAATCCAGACGATTTTTCCATCTTTCACATTTCCCCTCTTCCCACTTTCGCCGGCCCTTCGTCTGCCGTCCTGGCGCTAACTGGGCTGTGCATGTCGCCCCACCTTCCTTCACTCCACCTTCACCCCTCACCATTACTACCACTGACACAGGCCTTGCGCTCTGACCTGCATCTCCCAAATCTCCCAACCCTCCAGCCTGTACTTAGGTCGGTACAGTAAGCAACGACACGAGAAGTTGGATATACAGTTTTTACAAACCTTTCCAGCACAGCGTAGTGCACTGTCAGGTTTCTCTTTGTCTCTCCTTTCTCTGACAGTGATGCACCGGAAAGGAACGTCCTGTCCAAGGTTGTGCTTGTTGAGTATGTCGATGTGCTGCTGACCTCGGCAATCTCGGCTCAAATCTGACTGCTGACTCTGCCGAACTTAGCGTCGAGCTGTTCGAGTACGTGTGCTTGTCGTTGTGGTGTTCGTCGTGGATGTATCCGTAGCCTCGCGAATATGCAGCTCCAGGCGGATAACAGCATGAACTGTGCAAGCCTGCCACGTGGCTGATGTGGTGCTGGAGGAAGTTGACGTGGTCGTGGCCTGTGGAGCACCCAGAAGCGATTCCGACGGAGTGGTGCAGTCAGGTCTCGAGTCTCGGCATGTGATTCGAGTCTTGCGTGCTTGCGCCAATTCTTCTGGCCTGCCAGAATGTGGATGTCGAAGCTGTGGAGGCTGTGGAGGTTGTGGAGGTTGAAGGGACCTGCCATCCCCGGACGAGCCAGTGATGGCTTCTTCGAGGGCTTCGTGTCTAAGGCTCGGACAGTACTGGTGGTCGTTCTGGTGGTTGAGGTTGAGACCTGAGAAGGTTGGACTTATCGGATCGAAGGGAGCCATCGATCGCAGTCTTCACTTGCTCAGATTTCCACGTTCGGTGATGCCGACTCGTTAGCTTCACCTGCCCACTTGTGCAGGGCCCTATGGGAACAGTTAGTCCCACGCTGTCTGAGCCCGAGACCAGATCCATCCGAGATTTCGGAGTCCGGCGAAATGCTGCCTCAGAGCTTTGATAGTCTTGGAGTGTTGCTTTCTGTCACTTCCTCATGTTGAGTGCTTGCAGGCTAGGAAGCCAGTGATTCAGCAAGGGGTCCGGCAGGACACGGCATGCTGCTGCTGTTGAGTGTGCTGACATCTGCGTACCTCTACGGATCTATATGCTAGATCTGCTCCTGGATCTTGATCCTGGAGAAATCCAGCTCCAAAATGCTCCAAACTCTTCGACTTACTCGTGAGCCTCTGGGGTCTTTAAGCCCCACACCTGCACGGCCAAACGCTTCCCTCGAAGTCTTGGCAAAATCCGCAGTGACCTGAGCTACTCGCACTCTGGTCAATGCTCTACCTGCCCCCTACCGTGATCTGAAACAGGACTAAAAGGCCATGCTTCTGTGACAGCTAAGGGCCTCACGTAATCGATACACAGCATGAGCACAATGCGTGCCTGAGGAAGTCCATGATCCGTCGCGCTTTGCAGCGGCAATCACTGCGGTTGGGAGCCCGGCCCAGCAATGCATGCGCCGTAGCGCCCCAGGCCTTCTGCGTGACTGCTTGACAACCGACATGGGCACTGCAATGTCTCCCAAGACAACGCACGAAGCACTCACGGGCATTTTAACTCCTGCTGCCAAATTCAGAGTAGGTAAGTGTGTAGTGCTGCGCCGCGGCCTCCTGCCGCACAGCTGTCGAAGCAGCATGGACTTGCTGGACTCATGTCCCAACGACTTGGTGGTCGTGTGACAGCATATTTCTAGCAGCGCATCTGCATCGCAAACAACCACGTGCGGTGAGTAGACCTGAGTCAGTCCTCAGCATCAAAGAGGGATGCCCCGAATGCCACAGCTTCGACGGCAAGCCTGAAGCCGACACAGGGACCGATGATGCTCTGCCGCAAGAATTTCTTAACCGCATCCCACCTGGCACGTCCCTCCGGCGACAGCGGCAGCGGTGAGACCTCGCCGACCGCGACCGCACGAAGAAGTTCGGAGGCTTTGCCGAAAAGGGCCGTCGCACGGACCTCAGTCGGCACCGACAACAGCAGCTGCCTGGCAAGGGGAGAGATATCGAGAGATCGCAACGATGCCGTCGAGCCACATCAATGGCTGAAGAAGCTTCGCGGCTGGCCGCACGCACGAGCTCCACCTCACACAAACGACAAGCCTGCCACATGCTTCCCAGATTCCGCAGCTATGTTAAAGAAATGCTGTGCATATGTCAAATCGTGAACACTGTTAGACTTCAGCTCAACGACTTTAACTTCCTGCCATCCCGAAGGTGCAGGTAGAATATATACATTCTCTGCTGGTATGTGCCTGCTGCTGCGCCGACATTTCCGCCACGTAGGTTTCGAGAGTCCCGACGGGCCCTGTCCTTGCGGCACAATCACCGAATCACATCTGCTCACATGGTTGATCCTAATTATTCAAGAGCTCGGCATTTGCAAGCTGTGGTGGCGTGCAGATCCGTGCAGCCTGGTCACATGATGGACTCCAGCCGCAAGCGCTGCTTGGCTCGCCGGAGGAAGTATCCGAAGCGAGCAGCGGCTCCAAACTGCTGACGCGTCACCAGGCGATCGAGGGCCTGTGTCTCGGAGCCATCTTGGATGTCCTCTTGGATCTTGTCTGTGACGTGCTTTGCCGTCTGGGTGAACTCCTCCAGCGGCGCTTGGCCCGCCACCTGTTGAAAATCACGTAAGTACAGCTCAGACTGCCAAAAGGCCCGGCAGATTGGCCCAGGGAATTGCTTGTCTGACAGAAACTCCACCACGTAAGGCACTTCATCCTTCAGCAGACCAGCCAAGGCATCGTCCACTCCGTCCGAGGTTTCCGAGTCCAACCCGTCTGCCGCTGGTTGGAACCAGGTTTGCAAAGTCTCCAAGGCATTGCTGTTGAGGATGCGCCCCGCCTGAGAGCACGCGACAAGGGAGTGCGAGCCCTGGTTTCATGGCTGTTCTGTATCCAACTGTTCTCTAGCCTTTGAAAGCTTCGCTCTGTTCTCTGCCTCCTCAACACGCCAGGTACTGCCCGCTTCTCCGTAGAGAGCCTCGGAGTGCCGCAGCGCATCCCAAGGCGAGTCCTGCGGCAGGGAAGCTCCCTCCTCCCTTCTGCACGAATGCCTCGAGCAAGCTGAGGGTTACACTCCTTTCCCGCAGCCCTCGTTGCTGTGCGTGCCTGGGATGCGGCCATGTGGAATATCTATAGTGATCTGCAACCGTTCGGATATCCGCCACGCTGACACCGCTGCAGCTTTGCTGCCGAGAGCTTGGTCTGCTTTGGCCACAATGGGCTGACCCAGGCCTGAGGAACACATCATGGAACTAGACCTGTTTTGAAAGACATACTACGAGCAGTAGTAAATTTGTCAAACTGGTCGGGATGCTCGAGCACCCAGCAACACGACTGCAGCGGCTGAGCACAAACTGGCGCGCAAATGCAGCCGGAGATTGCGTCGAGCCATTCCAAATACGCTCATGAAAGTAAATCTGCTCAGTGATGCATTTGTGCAGGTACACGGGACCAAATGCTTGTGTTCGGTTGCACTGACTTCTGCAGAGGTCTTTGCTTCCCGGTTTGGAGTAGTAAGTACTCAAACCCAGTGTCACTGCATCTTTGTCTGAAGTTTGCGCACATCCACATCAAGTTTGATCTGCGAAGGCTACGGGGTTTTGAGGCTGCAGTCAACAAGCATCTCGCGGTCCAGTCTGAATGCTTGGTGACTGATCCGATCGGATCAGCCCAGTTGGCCAGACCCGAGGTGCGGACCACCTTTGGCGGCCCCGACGCCCGGCGCAGCTTTGAGACGCGTAGTGCGGCGGTGCCGGTAGTCATGTCACGAATCACCAAAGTCAAGACTCCACCGAAGCTGCGTGACGTGCGTTTAGCACCGAGATCGGCAAGGGCATGCAAGTGCACAACAGAGGAAGGCTGAGTGTCACACCATCTGAGTCACGATGTCTCCCAATCGATGTAAGTGCGAGAATGCGCGAGCACGTAAAAACTGCAGCCAGGAGGACAGTTGGGCATTGCCATGACGGTCCACGGATGTTCACGGTCCCTCGCGGCCTCCGAAGCGTTCCGGTCAGCGCAGAGCCTTGCGGCCAGCTGCAAGGTGTCGGGAACCTGGCAACTGAGCCGAGCTGGCCCAGCAACGCCAGCATGGCCCAGCTCCCACCAGTTTTTAGGAAGCGTGTCAGGGCTGCCAAGGGGCCCAACTCACTCCGCTGCAGCGACTTCACTGTCGCCTTGACCACAACCATCACGAGATCTTCGCTTTGATGGCACGTGAACTTGCGAAAGCCTCGCCGACCGCTATGCTGAACACGAACAAGCCAACCTCGCACAGGCTTGTTCGTTCGTCTCGAAACATGCTCCGTCCAATACCGAGGTGGGACTTTGCCAAGCTCTTGTGTCATGCGTGAACTTCCTGAAAACGCAACACTGTCGGACTTTCAGATGTTCCCTGGCCTCCGTCAGCTTCCAAGCAGCGGCATCCCCTGCAAATTGCTGCTCACAGGTGTTCTACTGCCTCAGAACGGTAGGAAACCTACATTGACATGACCAACTTAACTTGACCTGGACATGACAAGGCTCTGACAAAGACCATGCTACAGTGCCAAGCCTGAGCTGCGCCCAGCTTCGCCGCGCTCCAACCTGGGCAACGGACCCGAATGCAAAATTGGAGTGTTCCTTCATGATGTTGCCCTCATGGCAGCTTTTAGCTTTCGGAAGGAACACAGCCACGTTCTCAGATCTCAATGGAAAGTTACAGGCCGTAAGCCAGCGAACATGCCATTGACCGCGGCCCGAACAAATCCGTGGCGAGCGCCGCCACGGCGCGCGAGGCTTCGCGCCTCTTTCCAAAGCTCCCATAATCGGATGCTCCCTTTCTCTGCTGGTGCAAAGCTGTCAAGATCTGTAAGGTCCGGGCTTAAAGCTGTCAAGCATTTGGCCCACCAGCCCTTCACCAGAGACGCGTATGGTGCAGCCCCTGCGGTCGTTCAGACTTCCAGCACGTCGATGCACATGCATAAGATTGCATAAGTCATAAGTGGCATCAATTCTTGGCCAATCATGTTCATCGAGCCCTTTCTACTAGAGCAGGCGCGGGACAGCCCATGACCAGCTTGTGCACCGACTCTTTGGATGCGCCTGCAATGCTCGTCCTCCTCCTGCCGTCAGGCGCTTCTGAAGACAGCTCCGAATGATCCATTCGTTCCCCTGTCTCCGCCAGTGAGCCATGATTTTGGATACTTACATCCAGTCGTATGTCCTGCACCAGGAACTCGTTTGGGTCAGCTCGCCACGAGGCTGCCTCTTCGGATGTCCAAAGCACTTCGGGCTTTTGCGTCCGGAGTGTCTTTGCTCATGTTGCTCTGGCCTGATTCTCCGTGATGCGCATGAAGGGCACCAGGAGCTGTCAGGAGTTTGACACACAAGAGCTGTGCAAAACAAGGAACAGATGCATCACTGAGCTCCAGATCTACGGCCGTTGCAGTCGGTCGAGTCAGAACCCGACTGCGCAAACTTGCTCTGACTGAGTGAAACATGACAATGCTTCCTCTCGCACAGGACAGCACGTGAGAGAAAGCGCCTGAAGCAAGTGTTTCAACTTGTTTTTCAGGAGCGGCTTCAGCTTGACTCGGACGGCCATGGCCTCGAAGGCGGTGGGATCTGACCCATCACTCAGAGTCATGGTTCCACCACACGAAAGCAACCGTTGTAAGGAAGCGTGAGCTGCAAGGTCATAATGTCTAATGAGTCTAATGATTCTAACGAGAAGACGTCAGCAGGCACGGAGCTGCTTCTTCTTCTTCTTCACCACCACCGCCACCATCATCAACAGCACTCAAAGTTGCTCGTGCAGTAGTGGTGGTGCCGGCAGCGCTCGGCGGCGGTGGCGGTGTTTGCGGCGGTGGCCTGTGCCCTTACAGTGTTGCAGCTGCCTGCTCCAACCCTGAACCCTACTGCCATACTCAACCTCGCAGAGGGCAGGAGTTTACGAATTGGGGCTCCATGACTGAAGTCAAACTCGGCGTCTGTCAGCCCCCGCCCCTCCTCACCCTCCGCTCCCACTTTTGAAGTACTGCCAAAACCCGGAAACCTCGAAAACACCTCGTCACCAGCCACAAAGCCCTGAAATTGTCGTCACAAAACTCGAAAACTTGCAAACTCCAGAAAGACATCAGAAACTCTGCACAGCCAAAACTGAAGTAACATCGTCAATGCCCGATTAGGCAAGCTGAAAGTGCAGAACAGTCGGGAACGCACGCCCCTTCCAACTACGAGTACAAGCTTCGGCATCCTGCTCACTTCAGTGTCAGAGCCTGGATGAGCTCCATGGTCTGAGCCACGAAAGGGGCTACGCCACCCTGAAAAGGGCGTCGATGAAACCGAGAGTCACATGACACAATAGTATAATGGAGTAATTAGTCCTTGGTTGATCGCCTTTTGGAGAATAATGGAATAGGACGATTGATGTCAACCTCTCCCAGCAGTAACTACTTTAGCCGCCACCTGACAAGCGATATGATGACATGATGACAGCCCGCCAACAAAATCCTGTTAAGACTGTTGCGCCGCCGTCGTGGTTGTTTGCTTGGTTTCGCTGCTTAGTGGGGCCAGGGGTGTCGTAGTGTCGTTGCTGTTGCTGCCGCCTTGAACGGAATGAAGGCTGAAGATGTGGACTCACACATACTCCAGGAGATCGTAGTCGCAAATGCAGGTGAGAAATATGACTGCCTCCTCCTCACTCTGGCCGCCGTCATCTGCCTGGATCACGGCCTGGTGCTCTGCTTGAGCGATTCTTGAGGAATGTGAAAAGGCGCAACCAACAGAGCCTGCTCGTAGGCCGGATGCAGGCTTTGCACCAGAAGACACGCTGGTCTGAGTAAGCCCTGTCGTGTGCGACTTGACTTGGCTGCACCATGAAGCTTTGCGATTCCGGAGGCGGAGGATATGGTCGCTTCGCGGCAAGCTTATGCGTCTCACACAAGTTCGCTCCTCGATGGACTCAGACATGGTGACTTCGAGCTCCGGGAAGCGGCAGAGGCTGGTGACCTGAGAGCAAAAGAGATTTGAAGTGATAAGAAGCTGCAATGACGCTGCAATGGAAACCTGAACCCGGCTTCTCCAAGGCTTCCGCCGCTTGCAGGGCCGTGAAGGCGCAGCGAACCCGCACGGAAGCTTCCCAGTTGTCGTGTCCTTGCGGCTCACACCACACGGCTTTAACCTCCGAATGCTTCTGTTGAGCTGCAGCTGCAGCTGATACCTCCTGCATGTTAGGGTTGTAGGGCATCCAGTGGCCGACGATGGCTGGATTGACAACAAGCGCTTTCTCCTCGATTGCATCAGCTGACAAACCCTGTGGCACGGGTGGCCTTCTGACTGCTCCGCCCTCAGATGTTTTGGAGGCAAGGCCTAGAGAGCGGAGCAGGCGGCCTCTTTGGAGCCACTCTGACTTTGCACAAGCGCAGATGCCAAGCTCATCTCGAAGCTGCTCCCACTGCGCCTCCTTCCGACACCACCATTTGCCAGAACATGCATCCATAAGAGCAAAGCAGAGCAACATGCAGGCCTGGCCTCGCGGTGCAGCGGCCGGTTTAGCGCCAACCCCGCCTCGAAGCCGTGGACTTCAGCCAATCTAGTCTTTTCAGTCCACCGGAGAGGTGCGTGCGGTCACTGCTGGTCCGATGCTTCGACATGCACGGCTCCCGAATGTCAATGCTGAGAGCTGAGGTCGCGGCTTTGGAAGATGCACCGGGCAGATCTTATTCAATGCCTCTTGCTTTATGCTTCTCGTCTCACAAAGCTGTCACATGAAAAACACCACCCGTGAGAGAGAGGGAGAGAGCGAGTGAGAGAGCTCAAAGCATAAGGAAAATCGAGAATTCATGTAGCTCTCCTCCTTGAAAACCTCCACGTTATGCTCCAAGAGCTCTTGGCGATCGAAGCAGGCATCGTCTCCTCGTTTCCATACGCGCACACCCCAGTCACCCTCACAGATTCACCTCCAGGAAAGCATGCACCCCGACACTTCGAAGGATGAGAGTCCTTGAAAGACACAAACCAGTGCCAAGCAGTGGCCGACCTGGACTCTGCAAAGCAACATTCCCATTCTACTAGATCCTTGTGTGTAAGCAAGTAAAGAGAAACCATCGACGGTGATTTCGCCTTCGCCCGACATCGCCAAAGTTTAAGAAACATGAGTCTCTACTGCAAGCTTTCCGACAGAAGCGGCAAAAGGTGGGCAGTGTTTCGATTCTAGTCTTCGTGGGAGGCATGCTGCAATCAATGCTGGATGCCAAGCTCCCTCCCATCCGTGACGAATCACGCCTTCGCTCCTCTTGACATGGAATGACTGTCACTGCCGCTGCTCTGAATTTAACGCATTTATGACGGTGCTCGAGCTGGACGCGGGTGTCTTCATCAATGGTGGCACTGGAGGCAGGGCTTGCTTCGGTTCTGATGCCTCCTTCAGGACCAGGACGGCGCCGTTGTGCAGCTGGAATTCGCATCCAGCATCCTTGTTGTCCTCCAAACCTTGGCGGCAGGCAAGACTGCAAGACCTTCATGATGGCACAAGAGGCTGCAGAAGTGTACTAATTTAATATACTATACGAAACTCTTTTCTTCGCCTTGGCCCGCTGGACCTGCGGCTGGGTCTGACTCGGAGGACCGGCGCCCTGCACGCCAAGCTCGGCCGCTGCGCTGTGGCAGCGCGCTCGACGTCGGCATCTTTGGCCTGGAACGGGGACGCCTCCGGCTGTCCGATACCTGATTTCGAATTGGATGTGGACGCGAACCTCGAGCTTCGCTGTTGGGCCTCGCTCTCGGCCGCTCTTGCCCGACATGTTCTGGCGCCAGGACTGCGAGATCTTGGGGCACAGCCTCGGGGTTGTGACCCTCAGGGGACCGGACATGTGTGACATGCCTTGACCACTCGGACTCTCGACCCGGCCGCCAGCCACCGGCTTTGCTTGCTTTGGGATTGCCGGGCTGATGCTGAGCTTCTCTTCGCTGGGCCTCAGGCCCCTGTGACTGCTGGGATTGCTTGGAGCGCCTCCTTTGCGGTTGTGCCTGCAGGGGTGCCCGAGCCTTGGCCTTGGGATCCAGCTTCTGTGGGATGGATCGAGATTGAGACTTTGCTTTCGCAGACAATCGGGGTTGGGAGGTGGCTCGGCGTGGCTGCTTGCCCACCGGAGCTGGCTCCTGGAAGCTTGGAATGCGCTCGTCGAGCATCAGTAGCTGTTCCAACTGAAGGACTCTGATCGCAGACTCTGTCGACTCACCACCCAAGGGCCCCGTGTGCTCTGGCGCAGTCTGCTTGCGTCGCTTGGACCTTCTCCTGGAGCGCTGCTTCGGCTCCGCAGCGTGCCCAACGGAACTGCTTCGCTGTGGCTCAAACCATGCGGTCTCTGGGTCGTAGACATCCTCTGCCGCATCAGCCCAGCGTCCTGGACAGGAGAAGCCCCATTGAGAGCTCTGTACAACCGGATCGGCCGGCCCAGCCCATTCTGGGGCTTCATCCTCCAGAAGCTGCTGCACTGAATTCATGACACCGAGGTGCAACTCGCTCTCCCTTTCGGGTCGTTCATGCAATTCCTGGCCCAAGATGGCTATAGCACACTACAAGGATGTTTAATCACAGAAATACTTCTAGACTTCAATATTCTAGATAAACAGGCGGCAGGGACTGATTCAAAGATACTGAAAGTGTGGGACACTGCCCGGCCTCGACTGGCTCGTGTATGTGCGAGATTTGCCTGGGCCAGCCCGCCACTGTAGCGCCAGAGCCGGGGAAGCCTGATGCCATGCTTGGAATCAGCTGCGACTCTGTCAGCGCACGCCGTGGCCCCTCGGGCCCAGCGAACCAAACGTTTGACCACTCCGGGGTAGCAGGAAAGGACCGCACCATGCCATCCAAATCCAAATCCTCACTGTGTGCACGGGCACGTGCTGCACTCGTGTCCGGCAACGGCAGAGGCGGCAGCAAACGATTCAGTGGAATCTGCAAAGCCCCTGTGGGAACACTTGGTTGAGGGTGCAAAGGAGGCGTACTTGCGGCCGGCAGTGGCAGGTGCATGGGTGCGAGCGTCAGTCCAACCACCGCGGCGTTCTGAGGCGGGCTGGGCTCTGGCGTTGACACATGTTCATGAGCGAGGGCGAGAGGTTCAAACTCCTCGCCAAGGAAGCTGTCCAGCCCACTTTCGAACACTCTGTCGGGGTCTCCAACTGCGGCCGTGGCTTCATTGGCCCCTTGCATCTCTGCGTCTGCATCCTCATGGTAGGTCTGGGGGTTATCAGCCTCTAAAGGCTCTTGCCACTGTGGCTGAAGAGTCCATACTCCGTCGCTTCTCGCGGGGCCTTGCGGCCAGTCTGGCAGCTCATCCGACGGATCTTCTGCACGTGTCCATGTGTAAGTTAAGCCGAATGCTCCCAAAGCAGAAGCCGCGGCCACGGACACGATGAAGACAAATATCGTCCTCATGTCAAACTTGAAGAAGTCGATGCTCGAGTGGCAATCACGGCCTAAGCAGGCTTGGGCATCAGGCGCACCAAGGAGCCAGTCGCTCGGACCCATGGAACAGTCGGACAGCGGTGGCAGGCCCATACGCCAGCGCAGGTCTTCCACCTCGCAGGATGAGGCCGTGTCGAACTCAACCATCAGCCCAGCTTAAGACTACCTGAGACTAGTTTCGAGTTTCGCGGCTTCCTGTGCACCTCCTGGTGCAGCACCGCCTCTCCAATGCTTGGCCCGTGCTGTTTCCACGCGCTTGCCAGGGCAGCCTTGGCTTCGGTGAAGCGGCCTTGAGCGGAAAGGCCATGCACTCGAGCCAAGTGGGCCAGGCCAATACGACCCGTACGCTCCGGCAGAGCGCTTTGGAGCTCTTTCAGCTGGTCCTGTTAGTTCATTCATGTTCTGTCGTTTAACTGTGATCCAAGAAACCAGCCTCAACCTGGACCTTACCTCTCTAGTCTGGCACTGCTACTGGCGGAGTAGATGGGGTGACCACGAAATTTCTCAGCTACGATTCCAGCATGTTCCAGTCTCAAAACTTCATTTCATCGCAGGTCCTTCTGCTCCTGCTGCTGCTTCAGGAGCTGCTGCTCTTGCCTCTTTCGCTCCAGCTGTCCCAGCGCGGAACCTCCAGCCCCTCTCTGTAGCAAGTCGAGGCTTTGCTGGGTCGGGTCTAATTGCTGCTGTAGGCGCGCTGGCAAGTGGGAAGCTTGTGCTTGCGGTCGGCGGGTTGGGATCTGTTGAGGCTCCCAGTCCCTACGCTGTACATCCTGCCACTGCTGCAGCACATGTACATGCGGATGCTGTGCCCTTAACGGTTGCAGGGCTAGCAGCAGCCACAGCCATCTCCAGCCGACGTTGCTTAGAGTGGACGCCATGTGCTGGCGTTCGAATCGAAAGTCAATTCCATGGCCGTGCGATTTGCCGCCTTTTCGGCGAATGGCTACCTACTGCCCTGGGATTGGACCCAAGGCAGGAACTAGATTAACTCAGCCTACAAGTGGCAAAGTGTCCCACGTGCATGAGTTATTGGTGTTGTCACTTCAGCTACCATGGAAATATACGGTCTATGGGTTAACGATGCATGTACCTCGAGCGTCATGAAGCCAGGTCTCTTGGCTATTGCTTTGAGCAGCTGTGCTCGGTAGTGCCGCGCAATCGCAAACGGTGGTTTCTGCTCGATTCCGGCAGCAACTCTGCATTGACAACGGTGAGCAAAACGCCATTTCCAACGTCTGCCTGAGTTGATGGCCATTGCCGTAAATACAGGCGATGTCAATCACCACGTCAACCATGTCGGCACCTTTGTCTATCCACAGGATGGGTTTTTCACTGTGTAAGTGTACGTCTGTACGTATGTACCATGGATGGGTGGTATGTCGGTATGTAAGTATGCAGGTATGAGTGCACGTATGCATGGCATGGCATGGCATGTTCGCACTAGTCCCAGCAATGTTTAGTCTTCGTACTAGTATTAGTGCCAGTATTGAAGGAACATAACATCGCTAATTACGAAGGATCAATACGACTGTCATGGAAGACTGGGTCGCACACAAAGCTCGTACCAGGAGAGCTCTGAATTGCTCTTGTCCGCGGCCAGGTAGAGCTGCAGGGTTGGTCCATGCACCCGACACCCGAAACATTCCCAAGCGGTGCAAGTTTAGAGCTTAGGGTTTCAGAGCTGCTCTGATGTCTGGTGCACACCCTGAATCGGTGCTCTTGACTGATTCTGCCTTCGAAACGACGTCAAAGAGATAGACCTTCTCCTTCGCAAAAACCGAACAGTTGATTCATTAAGCCGCATGATATCTCTTGACGGACAACCGCAGCACTCAGTCCATCCGGGTGTTCTGACTCACCGCTTCCAAACACTTCCTGGCGTTCCAACAAAGCTCAATCCATGCACATTCCGTGTTTCTGGGCAGGTTAAAGGAGACGGCATGTATTTCGGTCTTTCCTGCAGTTGCATCGAGTTTGGGCGGGTATGGCGAGGGCAAACCGCCGGGCTTCAACACCAGGCAACGACAAATCGCCAAGAAGACGTCCGGTTTCCAAGCACATCTCCTTGGCTTTGGCTTTTGGAACTTTCCGAATCTCGGCGATTCTTCGCTACCATGGATATCAGGGCTGTTTTTGTGAGCCTTGAGGGCAAACCACGGTTGCATCCGTGAAAGACAGCCGTTCAGGGAGGACTGGACAGAGCTTGTGCGGAGAACGAGCCCCATATGTATCATCGCAAAGACATGGCGGCAGCGCTCCAGGGTAGGTCTCTCTGGTATCAGCTTCTGTACGACTTGACTGAAGGCCTGGCAGCTCAAAGCATCTCGAAGCCAGATCCAGACCTGGTTGGCTTGAACTCTTCCTCGAAGACCGTGTGGTCGTAAATGCTGGTGCAGTGGAAGCAGATGCTGGCTTTCTCCTGCTGCCACCACACAACCGATAAGTTACGTGACCCACCAGAGCTCAGCATCAAGCCTTGTCTGACATGTCTTCGGTGAGCTTGTCTTCTACGGCTTTCTTGCACTCCTCCTTTCCTTAGCTCAGCGACATCAACGTGCAACCAGAAACCCGCACGCAGACAGATATTGGTTGCCTGGGAGTCTGGGAGTCGAAGACTACTTTAGCCGCAGACTCGCCGTTAGTAGCTACACACTGTCTGCCATAATACGCATAATTAAAGCAGCCTTGGTGAGAAAGGTGAAAACCTGGTTTAGGTGCAGGAGGCGGCTGCCTAAATGCATGTCATGCAAAAAAATTGTCAACCTGTTCTCTGCTCACCTTCTGGGGGGGTGGGGGGGCAACACTACTTTGCTGTGAATCACCTGCATGCCTCTGTTTTCGGAAAAGCAAACCTGACTTTGCTCGAAGACTCTGCCATCAGTGTAGAACTTGGCACCGTCCACCTGCCGCAGCTTCGGCAACTGGCAACTGCAGGTCTTATAGCATACGACACTGTCTTGTCTTGTTCATGCCCATAGCCTTGTGCAGCAACACATCGAAAGTGACATCAGGATTTCGTTTGCACGCAAACCTCAGCGTCCAAAAGACCTCTGCGAGTCAGGCGAGCATCTGACACCTGAGAGCCGGGCTCTATCACACGCCTCGCCCTGGCCACACTCGTAGTGTAGGCTTCTTCCTGCTGAGCCTCTGGAGGCTCATGAGAGGCAGCAGAGGGTCCAACATGTCGAGCTCGTCTGCGCAGCTGCAGTAGCCATTCACAGTGGATTCATCCACCGTGACTGAGATGCTCACATCAATGACGAGCACAACGGCACAGGGTCCACCTGAAGCTCATGCAACGTAAAGTTCCGAATTGTGCATCCTTGCAGTCCTAACCTATACTAATTAGCAAAAATGCAGACGAAGACATGCATGCGTGTCGGTGTGGAGAGGCATGGCATGCACTGCGTACGCACATGCTTGCGGCCGCGCGTGTATGTATACGTGTTTCACGCGAGTGTGGAGACCTCCTGAATCAGATAGGACTGGACCAAGTCAGCTACCATCCACCATACTGCATGGTATGCATTATGACCCCAATTTTACGTCACGAATACAACCCACTCTTCCCCAAAAAAGTGGTTTGACAACAATCGCGAGAAATGATATGGTATTACGGTTCACTGCGGCTGGCTTCTCGTTTCTTGCAATAGCCCTAACCACAGTCTGCCATCTTCGCGGCGAACGTTCAGTTGCCTCTATTGCACGACCTGTCGTAGTTGCTAGTCAGCACTGCGCATCATACATTACCTGTCTTTAAATTAAATGAAGATCATACATGTCAATGTGTGGGCGCGTGCACTGACTTTGGCACCCTGCCATGTCATGCCAAGCCAAGCACTTTTATTGTCAGGCAAGGTGCTGAACACAGATGCATCCAAGGGATGAAGGCTGAGAGAGTCATCAAGCAGCAGGTTGCCAGGGAAGTCCACCAACTGACGACGAAAGCAGGCTTTTGCTGTGAGGTGCTGGAGTCTAGCGATGCTCCAGCGTCTCGCATGCTGGTCGGAATTGCCCAGAACTGAAACAGGCTAGGGCGGTGAGGCATGACTTTACTTGTGGCCATTCGGACTCTATCGTACAGCCAGGCACTGAGCAGGGGGGGCCTTCAAACGCAGAAGAGCATTGTGCACAATGGTGAATGTCTCCAACCTGCAGCGGGTACAGCTTCTGATCTGTAGTGTCTGAGAGAAGAGGACGGAAGGCCGAGAACCTAAGTTGATGCTCAGCGCCCTCATCGGGCCCTGGCTTGATGCCTGTTTCCAGGAAAAGTGATTCGTGCGGCGCAAGCTTCTGAAACCTGAGCGCTGCAACCACATTGCAGAGCCTTCTCGAGTTCAGGTCGAAACCATTGTCGCGCTCTCATATCACCGAACAGTTTTCACCCTGAGCTCCAGGCACCACTTTGCTGATAGACCTGCGAAACACTTGCTCTAAGCTAGGCCTGCGATCACCCATTGCACCGGCAAAGGTTCAAATGCCAGGATGTCTTCCTACCGGACACCGAGGTGCCGACGTCTTCCCACATCTTGGCAGCCCGCACATCACCACCTGCCCCGACGAAAGCGAGAGTCGTACTGGTCGGCCACTGAAGGCGCAAGCTGGCCCGCAAAGCAGTTCCAGTAGTTCCTGTTGGCCCTTTCCTGACTCGAAGCCTGAAGCCTTGCCTTCCCGACGTCTTCGGAGCTCATGTTCCTTGACAACCTCGGCTCCGAATTGTCTGGCTTACGTCCTTCGTCGCTTGAGTCCAAGGGCCCGACTGCCAGTCAAGAGGACGGCAAACAAGCGTCGCAGGGTGTGCTTTGCAAAGCTCTTCTAGTAAAGCTCTTCTGGTTTCGTGCTTGCATTGCCATGCGAGTACGAGTCTGGCTGGCTAGCTCTGGATGGATGGTTTTGCTGATGCCCGCGGTGAGTTTGCAGATAAACAGCACAGTTTTGATCTTGCTCTCCACTCTCGGCGTGAAGCTTGGGAGCAAACGCTCTGGTCACAAGCCTAGAGAACACAAGCACAAATTCATCGGCTAGAGACAAAGAGCAGGGACAACGGTCTAAGCCGCGTCCCGATTTCAGGTTTCATGAAGCCCTCAGGTCCTTCGCAAAGCTTGCCATACGCGGTTAGCCAGGCAGGAAGAGCCGATAGCACCGCATCCTGAGCAGCCTGGCATGGTTCGGACGTGATGGGACGTGCTCGGTGCACCGGGAGGGTAACCCTGACAGCTACATCTGCAATATCCAAGTCTTGACAAGAGGATAAACTCCAGCAGAAGCATCTTCCACTCCAGACAGAGCAGCAAGCAAGAGGTCGGAGAAAATGCGGAAGAGCACGGCGCTCGTTATGACGGCACATAAGGCATGGCGAACTCCTCTCTTTTTACTGTTGCACCTCTTGATATGACTACTTTGGTGGCTTCTTTTGATTTTGCTCGGCTTGAGTTACTGCTGCTCGTTGCTGAGATTGGTGCTGGTCCTCGGGCTTCGCATCGACCGTCCAGCACGATCCAAACGTCAGTATACGCACA